TGAATATCAGTTATGAAGTAATAATTACCCAAATTTTATTAACCTTATATTCATGTCTTTTTATTGCATCATTAAGTCTTTATAGCCGATAATTAAGTTCATTGAAATGTTGAAATAAAACTTATTTAGAAACAAATCAAAACTTTCTATGGTTGTTTTTTCTTAAAATGCTTAATTTGCAAATTATGAATTATATTGAAGTTGAAAGGATAAGAGAAAGTTAGCGGAAACCGTGCATTGATTATATTGATCATTAAAAAATACTGTCACTGGAAAATACGGATTTACTACTCAACCGTTGAAGTATTCTTAATTTAATCATAAGCTACATGCTATAAATCTTCCTTCATTTTTTATAAATCTAATAAAAGCGCTCATTAACCAATGTTAAATTATAGCAGTTTCTAAATAGATCATCTAATGAGTATCACTGTTATTACCAAGTTTTAACTGCCCACTTAGGAACGACAGTGTTAGGGTGAGTGAGTCCAGCTTCTCAGTCATACGATAAAACACAAAAATGATAGGCGAATATTTTATGAGTTAGTAGCAAAAAGTTATAGGTTATTAGTGATTAGTACAACGTAAGTGTAACCACGATTATTCATTTATTTTATCAACTTAATATATATGTTCATTAGTAAATGATTCACTGTTCCATTAGGCAAAATATCAAGTGTAACAGACCAAAAGAGTGATAACCCTCAAAATGAGTTACAGTAGAATCCAGATTATTCATTTAATAATGACTTCAATGAATCCGATCCTGAGTTCTGATATGAAACGTTACAGTTTTCTTGTATTGAGGCATTTACCTCTTATCTATTAAGTATCAAATGTTATCAATGGAGCTTGTGATTACTTGCTTTTGGATTTTCAGAAGTGAACTGATTAGTCTCTATTTTAAATTCTTCCAAATATTTATTTTGTCTTTTAGTAAAACCACAACTTAACTAATCTAAAACAATTCATAGGATACACCACTAATTATCACTCACAAATATACTTCCTACAAGGAATAATATTTGTCACCTTTGCTAATTGAATTTACTTCCGTTTTTTGTTGTTGTTGTATTAAAGCGAATAAATTGGTAATCTTTTTTGTAAACACCATGTTACGCTTCAGTTCACATCATTTAACTGAAGTGTAATCTTAATTCATCAAAGAAAGGTAAGAGTAATGAAGATTTAAAGAGTTTGAAGTTCTTACGATTGTTATGTTGTGTGTGTGTTGTTTACAAATGATAAAAGTAAAACTAATAGCTTATTTTTCTAATACATTTATTTCATCAACCCATTAAATTCTAGTTCTTAATGTCGTTAAATGTATTTAAATTTGAGTCTTACACAATTTAATACACGCAATCAAACTTGGACATATAATCCAATGAACTTGGTCAACATTACATACATTTATTCCTATTGACAAAGTAGTCCAATTCCCCAGTTTGTTACTAATATAAATAAACTTTGAGAGAACAACCTTCAATAAATTAATTAAATTGTTAATAAGATAGAAGGAGAATTATTTTTCTCTACTTTTTATTCATTTATTTTAACTTTAAACTGTTTTTGATGTAAATTAATTGAATCAAATGAATTAAGGGGAAAAAAGAGAGAGAACAGTCTAATGATGTTATGTAAACCATATTAACGGAATAATTTAATTTGGCAAGTACTATATACAACTTAACATTTAAATATTTATCAGTAATTGTATTTTATGGTTTATTTCCTTGGATGAAGACGTTTAGAAATGATACCAGACATCATCCAAATCCGTACTAACTTGTTGGATCAATTTTTTTTATATTGACCTTATCCCACCAGTGAGTCAACTATTGATCAATCGTGTACAAATATATTTCGAAGTTATATAAAGACTAGTTTTTTTTGTTAATTTCAGTAATATCTTTGAGTATCCATTAAAAAGGATGGCTGTGGAAGTATTTTCACTAAATTATAAAAGAATCTCAGATTATTGTCTCAGTTTAGCGGAATATTTTTGATAATGAGGTCGAATGGTATATGAACAGATCCTAGTTTTTACGTAGTAGTTTGAGGATTACTCCTTTACGTTTCATTTTAGTTTTATTAAAAAAGGATTTCTTGAGTATGACAAAGTAGACGAAGTATCTAGGGTTCTTGTTTAATTATTATGCGTGTTGATATCAAGAAGAGTGTTAAGGCTTTATTAAAAGCTGAAAATCATTTCCTTCATTTCGTAGTCATTCGCCATTTCTCTTAACGTTCATACTTTACATGTAAAAAACATTGTGAAACTTCTGACACTGTTAGTTTTCAAGTTTGTATGAAGTTTGCTTAAAGTGAATAGATCATTTAAATTAATCACATTGAACTTGACATTTAATAACTTATAACCAAGCAAATTATAGTGGTTGAAAGGAAGCTTAAATATTTGTAAAGATGTTTTGAATTAACCATACAGTTCAGATAAAGCAGATCATGTCGATACATATATCCATTAAGACTTCTTGGTATTAATAATTCCTCATTAATGAACTTCATTGTATCATAGTTCTTTGCTTGATCTATATTAATTAATTGGATCGTCTTTTCTTACTTTGACGCTGATAACACTTTAGTACAACAAACTAAGTTCAACTCAAGTCCGATGTCAATTTAGATATATCAAAGATTTTCATCATCACACAGATAAGGGATTCTAGTACTGTATGGACTCTGACAAGTAGCATTTAGATAGCTAAAATCTATTGTTTGTATCTTCATATGATAATAACATGTCACGATCAGAGCACTCAAAGTTTCTTTCACCATATTAACTCTACGGCTTTGGTTGGATTTCTAAGTTGATCTTGATTAAGAAAATATATTGAATATACTGATGGTACGAAAGTCTAGTCCCCCTTTCTGGATATCCATTCAAAACAAGATGAAGTGAAAGTAACATGGTAAGCAAGGACTTAGTTGATTGATTTCTTTTCTCAATCATTTATAACATATAATCACATTTTAAAGTGTAATCATATTATTTATATCTAACCCTCATAGATGGTTAATTGTATGATATTGTATAACTTCGATAATTCAGTAAGTTATTAAACTGATGCTAAATACTACTTAGGTTTATACATATCTAACTGTAAATAAATAGTGTAGAAAGTATTGTATTCATCTATCATTTTGATTTATTTGGGTGTCAAATAAATTCTCATCTACTGTCTACATGTTTTTACTTGCGTCATCCAATTCACGGGTTCAAGTAGTTAAAAATGTATTGAACAGTTAAGGCAAGAAGAATAACAATTTGTATAATTTTACTATCAGATTCACGTATTAGTCACAGGTTACACAGAAGTACTAAAATGTAAGGATTATATCTCCGAAAAAAACAAGCCTTTAAATCATTGACGTAAGTCGTTATCTTATAATTAACATGATCCAGGATGTCTTATTAAAATACAAAAAAGAACTTAACTAGTTGAACTAATCATTTTAACAGGTAGCTATGTTTTAAACATTAACCAATCTATGAAAAGCACTCACAAATCAAACCAAGTTTATACATTTAGGACATGCTCTATCCAAATTCCAGTAGGGTTACCTGAGCCGATGCCTCGTAATGGTCATACGTAATGAATGATATTTTATTGTCTGAGTTTTGGATTTCTAATTAAATGAAATATCAAAAACTTAGGTTTCGTTCTTGCTAATGTTCATGAGGTTTAAAAAAATCAGGACACTAGATCAGATATTGATCTTAATATTTATAAGATAACATATTTTCGGTCCTTAATTCACCTTTTCAGAAACAAAACACTAATTGATGGTATTTTACTTTATACACTTTAGAATCCAGTTTATCCAAATTAGATGACTGAGCTGAAAAGAAAACTTGTAGTGTAGTAGAGATCTAGCTACACCAATTCAGGTGATTGCTCTTTTTTTTCGAAGTGATCTATAAATTAAAGCAGTGTTGACAAAAATAAACGTACTTTGTAAGCAAATACCGTTACCCTTTTTTAAATACTTAGTGATCATTGAAGATGGTTAGAAAATGCGTTGAATTTGAATATTTTCATGTTACATACGGTGGTTTATATTTCTTTCGACATTTTATTCATTTTTCATCATATAAATAGTCTTATTTACTTACAAAGGTGTTTTTGATTGGTAAAGGTATGAGAATGACAATGAGTGATACTAGAGTTAAATAAGTTAATAATACTTAGTTATTGTATACATAATGTGGACGGATGTCAAAGTGGCTTTGAATTTCCTAAAAACCAAAAGGAATACTGGAACAACACTCCACGTTTCATTTAGTGTATTTGACATATATAGAACTGTAGTATATCAGTGGTTTGATCTAAAATCAATCATTTTACGTCGAACAAACAATTCTAACGAAGTTGTGTGTAAGAAGAACAACCACGTTCTCACATGTATAACACTTTCATTTCATGTTTGGTTAGTGAAAATCATACTGAACTACAATCTCCTGTAACTGCGATCCCAGTAAATTCTCCATTATTATAAGTCATGGAATCTTTGACAGTCCAAGCAATAAACAACGCTAACTAACATTATTCAAACTAAGAGATTTTACTTTTAAAAACTAAGATTGTAATGGAAATAATTTGTTGTTACTTTATTAAGAAATGAGGAACAATATTCGAAAATTAATCATTATTGAATAATTTACGAATATTGTTTGTTACCTATTAATATTTACCAATCATTTTTCTTACACTGACGGTCTTTATAAAAATGATGAACCAATAAAAACACTAAAAAGTATTTGTACTCAAATAATAAGGAAGAAAGAAAAGGAATTTTTAATGAATATCTATTTACCCAATAAGAGTGCATGACTTATGTCGGAGCATATAACTTATCAACCAATCATATTTCTCGAAATGAGAGTTGATCTCAAACATCGAGGCTAGCAAACTTAGATTAATTGCTTATAAATGCTAAACTTTGTTGTGATAAGACAATTGTTTGTTATAACAGTAATGCAATCAAATAACTTGAATCAATCCTTATCATCCGATTACTATTCTGACTTTCAAAATGATAGTTTCAAAAATATGTCAACAGTTTGTGCCCAGAATTCCTTTTTTGGGATTGCGTCATTGCTAGGATTTAGTGAACGAAAGGATTTAAATGATATTGATTTGTCTAAAATATCCAACAGTTCCGACAACTTATGTAAGTAATATTTTTAACTGTTATTTTCAACAAGCATATTATTAATTATATATATTGAATATGAAATATTTTTTTAGCCTATATTAGCATTTGGTGTAGTTGAGACTTAAACATGCCGTTTATGTAAATCTAGTCTTGTTATAGAGAAGATGTTTCAGATACTGTACAAATTAACTAGGCAATAGCCGTTGATATTCTTCAACTAGTTTACAAATACCTGATAAGAAGATTTTCTACTAGTATATGACTATCTGATGAAGGAAAATTTATCGAAAATGCTGTGACAAATGAAAGTATATCAAAGGTTATGTATGAGTAACTTGGGTGGAGATTTTCACCTGGTTAGTGATTTCTATTTATAAAATGAATGATAACTGAGAACGTTTCTAGACCATTCGTTAAGTTTTGTGAAATCTAAATTTAAACACATTACTATTGCGTTAATTATTTCAGTAAGTTGTAGTTTTAAATCACACCAAACTTTGTTTTGCTACTTGATTTCCATTTAATCAACTTTAATTTTGTTAGTTCAAACGGGCACCTCTTTATTAAGAGATATCACATTTTGAAAATTTTGGTCTTCAATAATGGCTCATTGACTTATTATTATTCGATTGTGACATCAGATTCATTCACATCATGTTGCCTGAATGAGGGCCTGACTCTTTATTGCTGCATACGTAACGTACCATGCGATAGTTCACTGTAACTGTCATGTGGTAACTAAATTTGTTAATCTTTTTGAATGAATTTGTTTACACTGATTTCACAATAAGTACCTCGCTAAAGTATGGCTTTTAAAGCGAAACTTCAAAACTTTCATTTTAATATTTTCAAACACACCATACTCGCATAAACAGATTCCGACTTTTCCAAGTATCTGGTAATCAAAGATATTATTAAAGAATCTGGGAAATATATTGTTAAATATCTAAGGGAAGCGAATCGTTAGAAATGTTCATTTCAGTAAACGCCGTAATAGTGTTTATGAGTTTAATCCTAAAATGTTTTTGCTGAAATATTGATCTGTCTCACAGGTTATGTTCTACCATTACCATCAGGAAATTTCTCACAAATGAGACCTACTTTCATCCCATGAAACATTATTTCTGCTAAATGAATGACCCAAATTTAACTGACGTTTTCATTTGACATTGTATTTCTGTAAGAAATATAAGATGGTGACTAGTTTAATAAAAACTTAAATTAATAAACACTACGCATTTGTTCATATTTTAAAGTAAGAAATATCACCTTTTTATCCCGACAGACCATATGTCTTTTAATAAACCCTAGTTTTGAAATGATTAGTTTGTACTTTTACGTTTTGTTGACTACTTACTGAATGATTGTATGTACATCGCAAAATTGCAACCTCAAAAGTCTAATCTTTTCCATGTTTGCGCATTGAAAGTAAACTAACATTTTCTAATAGTTTATCTCCTGACTTCTTTGAGCTTTTGAAAAATTTTCATATAAACAGGCTTCCATAAACTAAGTAGTATATTACTGAAAATCGAAGGTTCTAATGTTCTGTTATTTAAACCAATTACTGTATTTATTACTGATAGTACTATCCATAATACTCCTACAGTTATATAAAATAATCAAACATATATTTCAATAAGGTTCATTTAACAATATTCTTGACCATAAATTCTCAGATATATAAACCTGAGATTGATTCTACAGTATATGGTATTTCCATGTTGTATGAGTACCTATTAAATCATTAAGTTACTAGCGTGAAAATAAAGTATGATTAGTATAATAATTTCATTCATTAACCATAACTGGCTCTCTTTTAACACCATATCTAAAAATCTATCCTAAATGTTTAGGGCTACCAGAAAATCATATGAGCATTAGATATACACACTGATAAGAATTATATTGATACGAAATAAGCTGTAATTTTTTTATAACACTGGAAACTGATTTGATGTAGCTCTACTGTTATATGAACTACAAATGAAAAATTGGAATGATAATGCATTGTCGATGATGTAATGTAGATATTAAAGTTGATTTAGTCAGTAAGTATATTAATTAGCTATCTTTTAGCTGTTTATAGAAATACTTGCTTGAAGATATGCATTAACAAAACTTCGTAATCCCTGAAAATATCTACGTCCTCTATCATCCTCTATCAACCATGCTAGTTGAAAGATTATTGATTAAGTTCACAGAAAGTGCTATAAAGACAATAGTTCTTTGAAAATCAGTCTCCGAAATTCTTTAAATATAATTTATTTTTTTCAATCAAGTTTGCTGCAAACCATTTCATCCATGATTTCGGAGTATTTCACTTGGAATGTGCAAGCACTTTACCTTAGAACTTCATTAAAAAATAACGTGTTTGACAACTCTGTATTTTTTTTGCATATCAACAATTTTTAAAAATATACAAGTTGTTTATTTCAACAAATATTGTGAACAGTTCCAGTCAAATCCACTAAGTACAAAAAAGATTATGCTGAAATTTAGAAAAGTGTGTTTCGTTTGTGAAATCTTACTGTCAAAGATGAAACTTGTGTGATTTTGTCGGTAAGTTAGTATGTCTGGATTGTAGCTAGAATTAAAATGTAGGACGTTTGTTTTGTTCTAGCCGGAACACGTCAACTGGGTGCTCATGAATTCAAGTGTTCATATTCACACAATGACTGAAACCCAATATCTTTCAGCTTAGACGATGTTTTCTACTGGGCTACAGAGTTCAGATAACTAGTAACTTGTCCAACCATTATGGGATCATTTATTGGATAGATAAAGACATTTAAGTGAAGGAAACATTTATTCAAACGATGTTACTTACTAAAGCTATACAATCTTAAGGGGTATTTCCTTCCTATGTTTTAGATTACTGTCAATGAACCTAAAAAAGCCATATCTCACAAGTTTTATTTTACATGATATTACACATGATCTTAGCTCAGAGAACCGAGAAGCGAAGTTTTATTTTACTGTATTTAATTTGTGGCCTCTGCAGTTTTCCACTGTATTATAGACTACTGTATATTAAATAGCTATATATACAGTTGCACAGAGTTAACAAATAACTACATCGAAAAGAATTTTTTATTGAGCCGTCTATATTATGTTTAGCGACACAATGGGCTTCTTTCTCCACTTGACAGTGTTTATATTTTCTGGTTTTCAATGATAAAATCGGATAAAGATTAGTCTGTGTTGGTACATGTGCACGCTTGGAAGATTTCCTTGTGATGACTTATGAATTCAATGAAGAACTCAGGTTCACAAACCTTTATGCTAACATAACTTGACAAGTAAATAATCCGCGGGCATTGGGAGAATTAACTGACTTTTTATGGTTGTTTATTTTTTATATAAGCAATCTTAAACTGATGGGTTAGGTCACAATTAAAGTGCTCAGTATGGGGTTGAATTTACTTGAGTTACCAGAGAAAGTATCACAGCCGTGCATTCTCGAAACGCTTCTCAAATAACAAAAAAAATACTACTCATGTCTTCAAATTAATAACCGTATACATTTTTAAGATATTTCATAATTTCAAAGTAACATTTACCTTTTATATCACCATTCGATTGTACAAAGAGCTGGCTGTCATTGCTGTGTGAAACATCACTGAAATAAATAACTTAAAATGTAGTTTAGTGGAAACGTAACAGCACAGTAATTTATTCAATAAGAAACAGATCAGCCATGGATCATTCATACTTGTGAGTTATTTCACTCGTATTTTGTAATTCAACGTTATCATAGTTAGATATTTAATGACCTTGAGTTTATTTGCACTATCGTTTCCAGAAGAAAGTATGTGAAAAAACATAAGCTTATTTCACAGAATACTTCTAATTATCTGTAATAAGTTTTGTGGTAATGGTTTATCTCTTTACTTCCAAATATCGCTAAATGTAAAAAGAAGAAACACATCATAAGATGGATAAAGTTTTAGGATTGTACTCCTTTCATAACTCGACTCTTCATATTATGATTGGTTTTCAGGAAATTTCAAGGCTCATATCTAACCACTAAATGATAATTACGGTTCGATAATGCAATTTACATTTTACACTGAACAGTTCGAATGTTCGATCAAAGTCATAAGTTATGGTGACTTGTTAATTTGCTTAACTTACAACAATCATATCATTCATTAAGTAACGTGAAGATAATTGGCGACGTAAAATATGGAAAATATTCTTTGGAACTGTTTCCCATCTACTAGTAGTTCAAATGACAATCACATTTTTCTCAGGAAGCTTATTTACTGATAGTGTCAAAATATCGCACCATATGGAATTCATTTGTTCATCACTATCTGTGGATAGTTTATACACCACTAGATTTATCAGAATGCATGTATTTGGACATAGTTATTCATCGCAATCGGGTTACAAGTTCATTTGGTTTAATAAACACCGTTTTGTTCATTTTATAAAGGTGTTTCTTCATCAGAAGATTCAAATATACTGGATTATATCCAGTTAAATTCAACTTCCAACTTGTTTAATTCCCAAGTAAAAAATAAATTTCCGAACCAGCCGATGTTTAGTGAAGACAATCACTTTCCCCTATGTCACTCAAATCCAGTAATTTCAGCAAATCAAGTTGATAACATCATGAATGAAAGCAGAAATCTTGAATCAAACAAAATGGATGTTAAAATTAGATCACTGAAATCGAAAATGGTGAAAAGAGCGTCGTTGTCTAGTGAAGGTATTGAAATATCTACATCCAAAACAAACAACAATACTGCTAAACATAGAACTAAAGATTGCAATCACGTCGGTTATCATCATCATAACCAACACCACCACCATCAACAACAAAACTCACGTGATCGTAAACATAGGCGTAATCGAACTACATTTACAACTTTCCAACTACATGAATTAGAATGTGCTTTCGAACATAGTCACTATCCAGATGTATTGAATCGAGAAGAATTAGCTGCAAAAATTAGATTACCAGAAGTTCGCGTTCAGGTAATTTTAACTCATTATCATTGTCTGTTTATTGAAATCCTATCACTTAATCCAAATCGACAGGTAAGCTTGAGGATGTATAAAAAGTCAAGGTATATTAGGCGAATCTATGTATAAATATCAGATTTAAAATTATTTCTGAACAAGCAAATTACCAGTGAAATTTCACTGCTCTTTTGTTTCTACCGATTTACCAGCCGACAAGTGACTTAAGAGTAATTCAAGTGAACTCAAGCTTCAAAGTCCAGCTGTTTATACTTATTGATAATTTAGCTCAATTGGAAAAATTTATGAATATTCGTCAATATTAGAACGAATAGTTTAACAAAAATTGGGCGTTGAGTATAGAGAAGTCATTATATATGAAAATTACACTTGAAATAATCTCGACCGCTGAGATTATTTCAAGTGTAATTTTCATATATAATCTTTATACTCATGTCTTAAAACGATACTTTCCATTTCGCAGTTTTGAATCACAAAAAATTCAACAATCCTTCCAACATACCATATTTTTTATTTTGTTTAACATGTCGCTCAATTTCGTGGCTTAGTTGAAGTTAGATATTGACCCCGTTCGTTGCCGGCTCAGTGGTTTAGAGGTTAAGCATTCGCGCGCGGGACCGGTAGGTCCTGGGTTCAAATCTCTCGAGGCGGGATTGTATATGCGCACTGCTGAGGAGTCCTATAATAGGACGAAATGGCTGTCCAGTGCTTCCAAGTTTTCCATGCTGGTCTAACTTCAATTGAATTATGATCCCAACTAATACGATTATTATAATATCCACAAAACCTCCCTCCGATACTAATATTCATAATTAGTTAAAATTCATTATTCTTCAGCCTTCATATTGGTTTTTATTTAGTAAGTGAAGACTAAATTTAGCGTATTTATTATTTATTTCTTGAAGTATTTATTTTACCGATAAAGTGGTAGGAAATAGAATGAATTGGACTTGTAAGTAAATTAGGCTTTTCACGTGGATGAATAAATATCATACTCATTTCAAACTGTCTCTGAAAGTAGTCTATTTTTGTTTACGTGATATAGCTATCTCTAAAAAAGTGCCTACAAAATAGAATCGTCTTACTTTAAAATAACTAAATATACTGTTATTGGTTCCTAGGTATTTTATATTCAGTGCTACAGTATTAGTTAGATAAGTCTTGGATATAGTTATTCTGTGTGATTCTTAACTGTTTCTAGATCTCATATGACTTAAGTGAACCTTGGATTCAACAGAGCAACACTACATTAGAGTAATAGTCGATTTCTTGAGGACATTTTGATGGCTTTGGTGATACTGTGAATTATATCTTATATATACTGTCTTCTGTAATCACTTGTCAATGATAAATTAATTTATATTAGTTTACATTTACGTGATTCAGGTTTGGTTTCAAAATAGGCGGGCTAAATGGAGACGTCAAGAAAAACAAGAAGCTATCACTCATACGAAAAATCTTGAAGATGCTTTACCATATTTGAAAAAACAAAATAATGTGTCCGCTGGAATAGACACAATAAATTCAGAAACACAGTTATCAAGCATATATGATAAAGAATATTCATCAAAAATTTCTAAACTTGAGTCGTTTTGTCGCGAAACCAATAGGTCACTGAACAACTTTCCATCTTGTGTATATGAAACATCGTTATCGAATTC